AGCACACCACTGCACGAAAACCTGATTTTTTTCTGCATCATAATACGAGTTCCAGGGTCTAGCCCATTTTCTAAAGTTCACATCTGCAAAGACTACTTGATTAAAAATCATAATATTTTTTAAAATACAGCAAAGCCAAAAACATCAAGAAGTACCTTCTTAGCCCCATTCCACAAGCTAATCTCCAAAGATCAGTAAATAAATAAATCTTATCAGTTGTCAAGAAACTGGATTGATATCTGTATCTTCACTAGATATTGCCTGAGCATTAGTGTCAACTAAGTCTATTACAGTGAAAAATAATTCTTGTGTTAATTTTAAGGACTCTCTGCTTTACTAAAAGTCCTTAATGAAGACAATTAAGCCAAAATAACATGAGGTTGAGCACAGAAAACTCAAAACACCAACTACTAATCTCTTTCATTACTTATGGTCACTGTCCAGTAAACAGCTAACATTCTTACAACCAATTCCTATCCCACATCTTGTTATATCTCTCAGAGCATCAATTACCTTTGGTAGATTTCTATTAATCTCATTACTCTTTCTTCTTCTGACCACTTAGATAAATTTTCTTAAAATAAGATGCTTATTTAATTCTCCAAATTTACAGCTTACATTGATAAATTATGCCACTAATTTGCTTTAGAGAACCTAAAATTTTGAGCATGAACCATTGTACGGCTAGAGGAAATGCATCATGTGTTAGCAGCATCTCAGGAGAAATGCTGTCTTCAACACTGAACATACCTGGCTAACTAAAATGAAGAGAGTTAAATTCTAGGGACTAAGACATATGGAATTACAGAATCCCCAAAGAGGAGACACACTTAGAGAGTCTGGTAAGGGCAAAAAAGATGTGACAACATACAGAAGATCAGAGAATCAGAGCAGAACAGATTTGAACAGTGAGTCTAACCGCCTCCCTCTGTATAGATGAGCAAACAGAGCAAGAGAGGCTACCCGACTTGCTCACACTGCAAGGCAGTCACAGACAAAATAAAACCAGAGCTACCGACGCTTAGCCCAATGCCTTCTCCATTCACTACATCGTGTTCCTAGGAAAGCTTTATTAAAAATATTCTCATTCCCACAATAACCACAGGGGAATGGGGCCAGCCTAATGCAATGATTCTCTGGCTTTAGAGCTGTCAGGAAGCCAGATCACCTAAATACCAACACAGCAAATGCATCAACAGAGATTCCTGAAGCAATGATCCCAAATATTTGTGGGCGTGTATGCTTGGATATAGTAAAACTAGTGTTAATATAATGAAGTTCCAAGATTAATTGCAATAAACTTCTTCACAACAGGTCTCAGGTATGGTCAAACTATGACAGTTTTGCATTTCAGGAATTCACTAAAAATTTTAACTGTAATTTCTATGTGCTACCAGAGGATGGCAGAAGGTGCCACTTGCAGGCTCAACTAACCATATATTCTCCCTCAGGATTATGGGTACAGTTGTTCATGACTTTTTAATTGGGAAGTGTACAAATTCAGGGGAAACTTTAAGAAAATGTGTTACAGAACCACTGAAGTCAAATCAGAATAAAAGGACTACATGAACTAAGATACTCACCTACATTACACACAATATATCATTGTATACCAAGAGTATTTAAACAAACTGAAATCAACAGCTTTGCATTTTCTAACTTAAGTGTCCCTCTTCTTCATACTATCCCTTTCACCCAGATTTTCATTCCCACCCTCTGCTTTCATGAATTGGACTTCAAGGGCCTACTTTCAGAACTACCATTTTCTAAGTTGCTTAGAGAAACTGAAGCGTGAGCCATCACAATGCAGTTTGTGTTTCCTTCTGCTGCTATGTGCATTCCCTTCTCTATGTGTAGTCAGGCAATATCCCTAGCCTCCCGGCTCCTGGACACCTTGAGGAAGGCCAGAGAGCAAGCAGAATGACACTGCCTGCCACAGACCAACGCCATTTCACACACCCCATCCTATGCACCAAAAACCACCCAAGGGCTCCTCAAAAAGCCCATGGCTATGGGTATGGTGAAAAAAAAAAGCATGAATTTCACAACTTTTTTGGCCAACATACTTCCATTTTTTCCAGGAATGTTTTGAAGTGGTACATTTAACTAGAAAGACTTACCATTCATCACTTAATTACCCATTTAACTTGCAGTCTTTCCACTTTGTTTCACCTAAATATTTGAGAGCACAGGAAGCTTCCTGGATGTACAGGGTGATAATGGCTATTACTGGATTTGCAAGGCCAACAAAGTAGCCAATAACCACCTGTTAAATATGCAACAGCCCAAGCAAGGTAGCCTGGGACTCCTAGAAACTCAAGTTAAAGTTGTGAGGGGAAGGGGCCAGGGACAAGAGGAAGAGGGGCAATGAATCACTTATCAATTCACAGAAGGCAGTGCGGGCTCAAAGGAAACCGGACTTGCAGTGACCTCGATTAACACTGTGCTGTAATTTCCCCAGCAAACAACTGACAGAAAAGCCTAATTAGGAGACCACCCAGGGCTGGCAACTGACTTAACACAAGTGAGCCAGGCCACAGGAAAGCATGCTAGGGTGGCAGAGAACCCAGAGATTATGAGATCAACCATCACAAGAATAAAAATGTAACAAGAGAGACAAGAATCACTTGTCAAACTTCTAAACAATGCCCAATTCTGAGAGTCAACAGACCTCAAGTGGAGCTCAAATTTTCAATTATTTTTAAGATTTCACCGGTGATTATGATGCATGCTCCAGATGAGCACCCAAGTAGGAGCTCAGCAGTCTGCACAGGAATAAACAGAACTCGCAGCTTAAAAGCAAGTAGCTCAGAGAGATCATGAACCTGGGACAGGCGTTAGTCAAGACAGGTTTAAGGTCCATAAGCTGCCGGAATGACTTGGGGGATGACTGGACACCTAGGACAATGTCTGAAGGAAAACTGAATCCTGTGATCTCACTTAAAGGCTAAGCTCTGCGGTTCTTAAACTTGGCTACACATTCTAATCAGCTGGAGAGCCTGGCTCTCTCCACCCAGGTCAAACCTCAAATCCATTCAACAAAGTCTGGAAGAGAGATGGAGGCGCAACACTGAAAGCTCCCAAGTGCTTCCAATGTGCACCCACATTTGAGAAACACCAGCTTAGAGAGTTCTGGGGAAATCAGCAGACTGGAGTGAGGAAAAACAAAGCAGTATACATCAGTGGTTCTGAAACTCAAGTGTATGTCACAATCCCACAGAAAGCAAGCTGCAGCTCAAGTTAGCACAGAAGGAGGTGGTCCCTTAAAGTTTTACCAATCCTCCAGGGAGCCGGTGGGTGGGGGAGAGTGTGTGCTCAAAGTTTGAAAGCCACTGGCCTAAGAGACTGGAAACAACTGCAGGGAGAAACTGCATGCTATGAATAACCAGGGACGGTAACTGACAAGAGCACTCCTATCCCTCTGGGACTGATGAGTACAAACTCCATCTATGATGTGTCCTGAAAACCACCAGAACCAATACATCAGCAGTCAAGCTAAAGGCACCACTGACCACATGTGATACTTAGGATCCATCCTTCTCCCAAGCCACTCCTATCTGGCTTCTCAGCAGAAAGTATAAAGAAAGTGTGTATTGCCACCTGCCTTTCAGAATTAAAGATTTGGCTTTTTAGGTATCTAGAAAAGTCAAAAGCAATTAAATAATCACCAATAATCAGTGTGCAACTCTTTATTACCATGTAGAACAGAGTTACTCCAGAACATTAAAAAGGTTTTTTTTTTTTTTCTGTAAGATCTGAACTGCCTCCAGGGTCAACAATATCTTCTTTTGTAACTTCTGCTGATTATTTGTAACTTATACTGATAAATGATGCATTTATTCTCTTCCAGGATGATATGACCAAGCCTACCCAATAGCTTCACCTCGCTACATAGTAACAACATGGTGCTTATGACCAGTTGCAACTTACTGGTAACTACCCCATTTAGAATATTACATTGTATCTGATAAGATTCAAGAGATCACACTCCTTGCATATGACCAGCTCATCATCCCATCAGAAATCGCTATAGCAGCACCAGAATTTTCATTTTCAAGATACATGAGCTTTTGTCAAACGGTGACATCTCCTCTGTAATATGAATTTTCAATGATATAAAAAATGATGGATATATTACACATTTCACAGAGAACAGAAACCTGTCAATGAATTTAAAATTTGTGACAATCTATTTGAAATTCTACACTAAAAGATCTGTACACTTTTACAAACCATATAAATGTAAAACAGATACCAATGTTTTTACCGACAAGGAATAAAATATTCCTCCCTAAGAAAGTTTGGCAGTTGCCTTAGTATTTTAATTAATGTATTTTCATTCATTTTTCATCTGTAAAAATACTTCAAACAGCCTTCAGAGTGCCAATGACCAAAACTTTACATCCATGTAATAAACTTCAAAACAAAGCCACTGATTTTCCCCACTGTTTCAATCTGTGCACATCTTCAAACACGTAAATGCAAATATCTTACTGTAAAGTGCAAGTCACTTTTTTTTTTTAAGTTTTTTTTTTGAGTTTAAAGAAACTCAAAAGGCTTCCATAGCCTTGGAAACTCATGACTGGAGCACAGGGAGATTACTGATGCCATAAACAAGAGTGTCAATTGGTTAAGTCAACAACAGGAGTCACTGTGCACTTACTCCTCATGTAGGATCTTTGTCCTTAGTGTGCTGTACATTGAGATTTAATGCTATAACTAGCACTCAAACAGTATTTTTCACTTTATGTTTCTGTGTGGGAGCAAACTGTTGAAATCTTAATGTATGCTAAACTGATCTTCTGTATATAAAGAGAATTGAAAATGAATCTTGATGTGAATGGAAGGGGAGAGGGAGTGGATAAGGGGAGGGTTGCGGGTTGGAGGGACATTATGGGGGGGAAGCCATTGTAATCCATATTCTCCTTTGGAAATTTATATTCATTAAATAAAAGTTAAAAAAAGAAACTCAATAATAAAACACCATTTCTATTCTAAAGGTCAAATCAAGTGATTTCAATTTCTTCAGTTAAACCTGGCTTCTCTGGCAATCCAGATCCCATTTTACAAAATGACTTAACAGACGCCTTGCTTCCAGACTAAGATATTAAGCAAGAAGCACAAATAAAAATGAAAACTGTACAACTAATGCTGGAGTTAAATTGAGCATAAGCAGGACGATTTGTTTTCACGCAGTAAGACCTCACGGAACCCATTTATGAACCCCTGGGGGAGGCACCATTCAGATACTATTAGATAAGCAGTTTAAAAATTTTGAGTTAGTTTCTAAACTGTGGCATGCGGGCTTTCAATTCAGACCCTCAACATGCTGGTGCGTTTGAATCCTTTCCTGTGCAGTAAGCTAAATCATCTGCACGTGACGCAGAACACAGCTAACTGGAGTTCAAGGCTGTCCCACGTCAGTCAACCTCCGAGTACCCAGTTCCTCACCGAGATGGTTTTCCAGGATACAGCTAATGAACACAGCCCAAAGTTAATTTGACTAGCGCTGCCAACAGCAGAAGAGCCTGGCTAACCTACAGACCTCATCCGAAAAGGGTGGTATGTAAGCGGCTGTTTCTCCCCCACCCCCTCTTTTAAGACCAGCGAACTGCAGCGGAAAGGGTGCTGAGGGGCAGGCGAAGGGCTCCGGCCGGCCGGGGACAGCTCCTTTCACGGAGATTCCCCCTCGCCGTGCCAGAGGTCGTCTGGAATCGGCAGATCGCCGCTTCCTATTTCAGCGATCACCACTGGAATGTTCCAAACCGAGGCCCACAGAGCGAGGGAAACAAAGCCAAGCCGCACAGCTGTGGGCACGGAAAGTTTTGCTCCACCGACCGCACACTCCCACCTAGGGGTCGGGCTCGGGGCAACCGCAGCAGCGGGAGGCCGGGGTTGCCCGGGAGGGGGGCGCCCAGCAGCTGGCGCGGCTGCATCTGACGCTGGGGGTCCGCGGGGGCGAGCCCCGCACCGCCGCCCAGACTCCGCGGGGCAAAGAGCGACACCCGTCCAGCGGCTCCAGCTCGGCGCGCTGGGTCGGACTCGGGCAGCCTCTCCAGGAGCGGGTGCCTGGGGCTCCCCTTCAAAGGCTTTCGTTCGCAGGGTGGGCTTCGAGGAGCTCACCTGCCCCTCCCCCGCCCCGGGTGGGTCTAGCGGGCACCCCGCGCGCCGCAGTCCTGGCCTGGCGCCTCGGGGGGCAGGGGACACCGCGCACCCGCGCTCGCAAAGTTCGCCGCGCTGCACCCCGAAGCGGCGCCCGACCTCCGGAGCCCGCCCCCGGGGCGGCGCCCAGGACCCCGACTGGCGCCCATCTCCCAGAGCCCACTCCCGGCCCCGGCCCGCGCCTACCTTGAGCCAGCGCCCGCAGCAAGTGCAGCTGGAGCAGCAGCAGCGCCCACCGCCCGCGGCCCGGGCTGAACTTTGCCGCCTGCCGTCCTCCGCGCTGCCCTGCGCGCGCCGCGCCCTCGCCGGCAATGCCTGGCGCCGCGCGGGGTCCCGGGCGCTCGCGGTCGAGGCAGGGGCCCGGCAAGGACCCAGCGCACTCAGGGAGCGGCGGGCCGCCGGCGGTCACCGAGGGCCGGGCACCGCGGACCATACCGAGGAGCTCCCACCCGGAGCGCCACGCCGCACCGGACGGCTGGGACGGCCCCGGGTGGACGCGGTGCCCGGCGCTGAGGGGCGGCGTCCCGGGTGCCCGCGTGAGGGGCGCGGCAGGGGTCGAGCGAGGCGGAGGAGAAGTCGTCAGCGGGGGCAGTTCTCGTCGCGACGCCCGGAGCCCTTCCGGGCGACCGCCGCGCTGTCACCCGGCGCTGAGGAGAAAGTGCGCCCGCCCGCGCGCCGGCTCTCGCCCTCCGCCGCGGCCGCCGCTCCCCATTCACAGCCCGGCCGCACGCGCCGCCCCCGCTGATTGGCCGAGGGAGGCGGCTCCGCTCCCGGGGCCCGCCCCCACGGCCCTCGCTCGTTTTCAAACTCGACGCGCCCGCCCGCCTGCAATTTCGCGCCGGCAGCGGCGCTGGACTCGGGCAACTTCCCGCGCCGGCAGCGCCGCTCCAAGTGCCCTGGGAGCCGCCCTGCTCCCCGCCCGGGGCTCTGCGCTTGGGGCGCAGTGGAAGGGGCCGTGGGGGTTCCGCGCCAAGTTGCCATAATTGCGAACGAGAAACGGGCGCCATCGGTTTCCTAAACGCTAGGGACAAAAGGCACCGTTTGGTTCAAAGCCGCCGCCTGCTCAGAGGAGTGGACATGGCTTCGTAGAGGCGTCCAAGGTCATGTTTGTCCTGGGGGCCGGCAGCACAGGCCGCCTCCGCCGCTCCCGGGTCTGGAGTAAGGGTCTGTCAAGGGAGGGGTTTCTCCCGGCCGCCCGGGGAGTATGTGGTAAGCATTAGCTGAGTTTATGGGATGAAGTAAGCGCTCCGGAGCTTAGAGGCCCGCGCGTGGCAGGAGGAGGGCTGGAAGGTGACACCCAGCCTGCTGCTGCTGGGAGTCAGCCAGGAGGAGCCCAGGGGCACGTGATGGTGATCGGGTGAGATCACCCAGTGGGGAAGGGCCAGGGGCCCGGGTGTGCGCCCCGAGAGACAGCCGCGTCTGCTGGGGTCCGCATCTGGACCCCAGGCGGGAGAGTGGGGAGCAGCAGGCCAAGGAGTCGGAGCCTGCAGAGCACCTGTGGGTGCTGGCCAGCATGGGGCAACCGAGACCTGGGGCAGCTGCCATGTGGAGGAGGCAGACGCTAGAAGGGACACACACACACACACCAAAAAAAGGCAGGCAGAGATGGATGCTCTGTTCTCTGACAACATCGTGGAGCTTCGAAACGGGCTGTCTTCCCGCCTTGCTGTCCTCAGATGAGACAGGGGCACGGGTGGGCTGTCGTTTGTTTGTCGGTATTGCAGGCAGCCCTGAGCTGCTGCAAACTTGCTAGGTTGGCTGAGAGCCTAGGGAGGCTCTCAGTGGGCTCTCTGGGCCAGCCCTGGGCAGTGGCACCTTCTCACTGCCTGTATGTGAGAAGTGCTGGCAGGAGAAACCTCAGCCTTAACCAAGTGACATGACCTGCGCAAAGTCAGCAGGTCCCCTTCCCCCACTGCCCAGTCTCCATTGCTCTGAGCACCTCTGCTTTGCTGTGAGACTGAGGTTTGGGCTACACCCCTGGAGCAGATCGGGCTTTGAGGTCTTCCTACTTGTGACCTTCGGACAATTGTTGACTCCATTGCTGCCCAGAGTGAAGGACACTCCCCATCTCCCGGGGTTGTTGCAGGAAAGGGAGCTAACACACTCCATATATGCTTCTTTTCCATCCCCTCCCTCGTGCCGGTGTGGCCTTGCTAGAGCCACTGGTTGTGTTTGGTCAGCAGCCCTACGTCCTTGAGTGTGCTTTCGAATCAGAGCTGGAGCCCATATCCCCAGCCGTACAGTGCCTGCATGAGCAGAGCTCGGGCTACTTCTTGGCTTCAGGACCCTGCAGAATTGCCTGGAGCCTTGTTTGCTGTGATGTATTCTGCAGTTCGCCGAAAGCTTTGTGGAAACTTGCTTGGAGATTGGAAAGCCCAGGCGGTGCAGGGGCGGTTGTAAGAGATGGATGACGTCACTGCTCCTAGAGAAAGTCCAGAGACCCCTCTGGGAAATTCTAATTCGAAATCTTCCCGCGGAGGCAAGGCTCTATTATCATCTCCGTTCTGCAGTTGAAGAAGTTGAGCCAAGAAAGTTTAATAGATGCAAAACAACTGTGTTAGAGCCAGGACCAGAATCCACCTCTCCTGAGCCCCGTCCTCAGACTGTGTTGCTGCTTCCAGATTCATTAGGTCATTATAGGGGGAGGGGCAGCTTACATGACAGCTGTTCCTTCTTTTAAAAAAAAAAGAGACTACTTCTGTCCAAAAGGCCAATTAATCTCTAACTCAATTTAAAAAAAAAAAAAAGATTTATTGGAAATGCAGAAGGACAGAGAGAGAGCAAGCACCTGCATCCATTGGGTCACTCTCCCAGTGGCTGCAATAGCCAGGGCTGGGCCAGGCTAAAGCCAAGAGCCAGGAACTCCATCCTGGCAGCAGGGACCTGTCGCTCCCCGTCTTCGTGGGGGAACGACACTAAGCCCTGCCTAGGCTTCATATCCGAGTCACGGCACCATTATGTCGCTCCCCGTCTTCGTGGAGGAACGACACAGGACCCTGCGCTGTTCTTTCGTCTGCTCGGCCCTCCCCGGGTTTGCTGCTGGTTCTTCCCGGGTTGGCTACTGTCCCTTCCACCTCCGTGGAAGGGCAGTTCCCCCTAGCCACATTCCCCACTTCTGCAGGGGAGCGGCACACCGCCGGCCGGCTCTCTCGGGGGCTGCACAGGTGTTCCCCTTAGATGTTCCCCTTAGATGTTCCTGGTGCATGCCGTCTCTCTCCTCCTTTATAGTCCTCCTCCGCCAACCCCAACTCGGCTGCCCACACGCTGAGCACACTGCTCTCCTCCAATCAGGAGCAAGTCCCACAGTTTATTGGCTGAACTGGAGGCAGCTGTGTAGAAGCTGTTTTCTTCTCTCCCAGCGCCATATTGTGGGAGAGCAGATGCATAGAATAAGTCTTAATTCCAGTAACTTAGTCTAGTCCGAGTTGCTCCCCACAGATCCCCCTTTCTTTTTATTTTTGGCGTTGATACGCGCCTGTCTTCGGTGTCCCACGGCACACACTCTGCTCTACTTGCTAGAGTTGCCACAGGTTCTTACAAGTCCTATCAATCAGGCAAACCGAATCCGGGTCCTCTCTTCGCCATGTTGTGAGGAGGTTTTTAGGCGCTGATGCGTGCCTGTCTTCGGTGACCTGCGGCTCATACTCTGGTCGAGCCGCCTGCTGGTGCTTACCGCCTTAATCAGGCAGACTGAATCCAAGCTCTCTCATTGCCATGTTGTGGGGTGACTTATTGGTGTTGATTCGTGCCTATCTTCGGTGACCTACAGCTCATACTCTGGTCGAGCTGCCCGCTGGTGCTTACCGCCTTACTAATCAGGCAGACCGAATCCAAGCTCTCTCATTGCGGTATTGTGGGGAGACTATTGATGTTAATAACGTGCCCGTCTTCGGTGACCTGCGGTGCATAAGCTGCTAGCCGCCCGCAGGTGCTCATCGCCTCACTAATCGGGCAGACCGAATCCAAGCCTTCTCATTGCAGTATTGTGGGGAGGCCTTTCTATTTCTCTATTTCTCTATCTCCGGGCATTCCTATTTCTCCCATTTTACTTCTGTCTGCCAACATTCCTATTTCTCTCATTTTACTTCTAAACTTCTGTTTCTCTTATCCCTGCGGCTTCCCGGCACCCGCCCCGAGGCTGCTTCTCGGCAGCTTTCCGCTCTGAGCCGCTTCAGCCCGCGCCTCTCTCATCTGCACGCTTCGCACTAGCCCAGCGTTCCCTATCTACTTGAGCCCCGCACACTCTGTCTGCGCGCGGCAGCCTCCGCGAGTCACACAGCGTAGCTTACGTCTCCGCCACTAGCATTCAATCTGAGTTCCCCGGGCTAACCTGGCAAATTCAACCCAGCTCACGTCTCCGCCCCACGATTTGGCTTCCCGTCCTTTGGTCCCCGGGCTAATCAGACGGATCCCAATCTGGCTTACGTTTCCGCTTCTGGTTTCAACTTTTCGCCCCTTATTCCCGGGCTAACTTGAGAATCCCAAAGTGGCTTTCGTCTCCGCCTCGGCCTGCCCCCCGCGGCTTCAATTTCCCTAACATTTTTCTCTACCCGGTATGTTTCCCCAAGCTTTCCTCCAACAATACTCCTCCCTCATTTCTCCTGGCCTCTCCCCACAGTCCGCATCCGAGTCTGTTTGTTCTAGCTTTCACTTTCGCTTTCGACCTTAGAGATTTCTCCCAGCTTCCCCCCGTAGTCCGTATCCGAGTCTATGCCTAGGCTTTCAATAGCTCCTTCCGGCACCTTTTTCGTCCGGCTTTTCCCTAGGCTGTTTGCTAGTCTCTCTCTCTCCGGTATTTTCCCATTTCTTCCCGTTTCTTCCCTCCTAAGTTTCCTATCTGTCCTAGGTTTCCTATCTGAGTCACGGCACCATTATGTCGCTCCCCGTCTTCATGGGGGAACGACACTAAGCCCTGCCTAGGCTTCATATCCGAGTCACGGCACCATTATGTCGCTCCCCGTCTTCGTGGAGGAACGACACAGGACCCTGCGCTGTTCTTTCGTCTGCTCGGCCCTCCCCGGGTTTGCTGCTGGTTCTTCCCGGGTTGGCTACTGTCCCTTCCACCTCCGTGGAAGGGCAGTTCCCCCTAGCCACATTCCCCACTTCCGCAGGGGAGCGGCACACTGCCGGCCGGCTCTCTCGGGGACTGCACAGGTGTTCCCCTTAGATGTTCCCCTTAGATGTTCCCCTTAGATGTTCCTGGTGCATGCCATCTCTCTCCTCCTTTATAGTCCTCCTCCGCCAATCCCAACTCGGCTGCCCACACGCTGAGCACGCTGCTCTCCTCCAATCAGGAGCAAGTCCCACAGTTTATTGGCTGAACTGGAGGCAGCTGTGTAGAAGCTGTTTTCTTCTCTCCCAGCGCCATATTGTGGGAGAGCAGATGCATAGAATAAATCTTAATTCCAGTAACTTAGTCTAGTCCGAGTTGCTCCCCACAGGGACCCAAGAACCTGGTTCCTTTTCTGTGGCTGTCTCTGCATCCCCAGGGAGCTGGACTGTGGGCAGCCACAGGCAGTCGCCCCTTTTGTTTACACTTAAACATATGAATGAAGACATCCTGGCTCAGACAATTAGGCTAAGGAGATTTCAGGGAGAGGCAGGAAGAATGGCAGGAAGAGCCTTGTCAGGAACTCTTTGTAACCCCAAAAGTCTTTTGGATATGTAAATCTTTTGTGTGCCTTCTTGTATTCAACTGGTCACCTTTAAATACTACTGGATTTGTTGATCGGGATTTGTCTTGGCTCCATTCTTTGCATCCTTGTCCCCGCATTCCCACTCTCAGCGAGCACACTGGACTGGAAGCAGAGCAGCAGGGAATCAAACCAGCAGTCAGATAGGGGAGGCGAACATCAAAAGTGGCAGCTTAACTCTCTGCACCACCATATTGGCCCCTCAACTTAATTCTACCCAGCCCAACAAGAAGACCCAAGAAGAGGACGTGTTATGCTTGCACGTTGGCCTTGGAAAGTCTTTAGTGGGATGTTCTGCAAGGCTAGGAGGCACAGGGATGTCACTCCAGGAAGGTGGACATATTTTTCTTTTCGAAAGAAAAAAAAAAAAGACCTGTGGCTGTCCACAGCAAGCAGTTAGGATTCTCTCTGCTTTAAAAAGAGAAAGGAGAGATGTGGGGAGCAACTCGGACTAGACTAAGTTACTGGAATTAAGACTTATTCTATGCATCTGCTCTCCCACAATATGGCGCTGAGAAGGGAGAAACAGCTTCTACACAGCTGCCTCCAGTTCAACCAATAAACAGCAGGACCTGCTCCTGATTGGAGGAGGGCAGCGTACTCGGCGTGTGGGTAGCAGAGTTGGGATTGGTGGAAGAGGACTATAAAGGAGGAGAGAGACAACATGCACCAGGAACATCTAAGGGGAACATCTATCTGAAGGAACACCTGTGCAGCCCCCGAGAGCCGGCCGGCGGTGTGCCGCTCCCCTGCAGAAGTGGGGAAGTGGCTAGGGGGAACCACCCTTCCACGGAGGTGGAAGGGACAGTAGCCAACCCGGGAAGAACCAGCAGCAAACCCGGGGAGGGCTGAGCAGACAAAAGAACAGCACAGGGTCCTGTGTCGTTCCTCCATGAAGAGGGGGAGCGACAGAGAGAGTTTTCAAAACATATGATAATTTCAGGGGAATCAGAGTGGTCCCTGAGCTCATCGGTGCTGGCCTGACAATCAGCCTCACCTGGGAGCCCGTGAGAAAGGCAGCCTGGACCTCCCACATCATCACCTGCGTTTAGCAAGTCTCCAGCTGATTCCTCTGTAAGTCCAGTCTCCTAGGAATGTAATGTGATGACTGGAACCCTCGCTTGTGTTCTCTTCCTCTCTGCACTCATTTCTCTTTCACTTCCTTCTGTGTTCTCTTCTCCCTCTTATGGGCCAGGAGATAAAAAGGAAACTTCCAAAAATGATAGGATTTTAATGTTATTTTTCAATTTTATAAGGAAAGCTTGCAACTTCCTAGAACATCAACAGTTCACTGTGTATATATTACAGTTCAGAGGCATCTTTGTGTCCGTGTGGAAGAAACAACTAGAGAAAGCAGTAATATTTTGCCATATAGGTAGCTTTTATACATCAATGGGAAAAAACACAAGCAAGGCCCATGGAATGAGAAACAGAGTACAGGAACAGGCACATCTCAGAGAAATACAAAGAAAATAAACATTTGAAGAGACACAAATGGATCCCAAACATGAAAAGACCCAAGCAATAGGGCCAATAAAAAATGTGAACAGACAATGGCCAGAGCTGCAGAGGGTTTCTGGAGATGCACTCATGTATTCTTGGTGAATATATAAATTAAACAGCCATGCTCGAGTTGCTAAATTTTAAATAGGAATTGTCTTTGATTCTCACAAAGGCATAAAGACAGTACAGTACATAGAGCAGATTTAATGAGTATTAAAAGAATAGTTAGAAACATTGATAAATACTTGCTCTATGGAGGTTTTATTATAAAATCAACAAGTTAAACAGGTAAGTATTGTCTTATAAAAGAGCATGTCTATAATGTGGAATAATCCTTTTTTTTTCTTAGAGCATAGATGTCAAATTCAAAACAGGATTTCCTTCAGGGGACATAGAATTACATGCTTTTTTTTTGCTTTCTAAATTTCCAAGTTTGTTTTTTACAATGAAGATAAACTAATAAAGCTTATTTTTAAAAAGCAGATGCTGAGCAGAAAGAAGTCCTTTCTTACCTATACCTCATTAAGAAACATCCCCAATGGGTTCTCAGTGCTTTTGAGAAAAATAATCCCCAACCATCAGAGGCCAAGTTACAACAAGAACTTGTCCACCAGGGATGCTGTGCCCTTCTGTGTGCAAATCACGCCCCACCACTGCACATCCAGGGCATGCCTGAGAGCGGTCCCTGGGGCCCTGTCCCCTGAGAACTCTCCCGACTGGAGGCCTCAGCCCTTCACTCAGATCCCTGCCAACTGCTAAGCCCAGCCTCAGCCTCACCTTTGTTCCATTGCCTGGCAATCCATCAATGAGCCTCCAGGTGCTGCCTTTGAGCCCTAATGGGGCATGTGTTCTGGTTACCTTAGAGCCCAACTAGTTTCCTGAAAACATTTTCAGAAGCTAAAATCTCAAAAAATACCGTTAAGGAAGCTATGGAGAAGAAAGGTACAGAACTTTAGCGAACCTCCAGTTTTCTTTGAAAGTATCCCTCACCCTCAGGTGCCTTGACGTTGCAGGAAACCGGGGTTCCTAACCCCTGACAAGCAGCCTCAGCTGCCTCCCCTAGGTGGCATGAATCAGGAAGTCAGGTGGGAGCCCAGCCTGCGGTTTCACAAGGCCCCCAGGTGATTCTGTGGCAAGTTCAAAAGCCATTGGCAGGTAGTCATCCCTCCCATCCCTGCTTTTCAGCCAGTGTTTACCCGAACACTCAATTAGCGCCAGCCCCAGTGCTAGGCAATAGAGAAACAGCAATTGTGTGATAAGCAAAGGCTCCAAAGGGAATACTGCATAAGGGAGGTAGTATTCCAGAAGTAACAGCTAAACAGAGACCCGTGGATACACAAGGGTGGAGAGAGGCTGTTCCAGGCAGAGGGAACAGCACGTGCAAAGCCAAGTTTGAAACTCAGCTTGAGAACAGTGGAGAACCAAGAGGGTTTTCAATACAGGGATTGTGTAATGAAAAATGCTTTTAGACATAATCATTCAGGCCATGCCGTGGATCGAGATGGGGCAAGACTGGAAGCCAGGAGACCTGCTAGGAGACCATGGGAGCAATTTTAACAGGAAATAACAGCGGCTGGGATGGGGGAGAGGCGACAGGCTAAGGAGCTGTGAGCTAAGGGGGCATCCGGGATGGCAGCCTGTTTTCTGGCTTGGGAGGTTGGGGGAATGTCCATCTGTTTTCCAAAGAGAGGGAACATAGGTGGAGACGCAGAGTTGGTGGGAGGTTCGGATTTGAACTTCTTAACTGTGACGCATCGCTGGGGCATCACTTGCAGATAAGACGTGGATGCCAAATGGCAGAAGCAGAGGAAATGACTTCAAGGCATCTGACCCAGTGTCAAGACATCAGGGCTAAGTGACCTCTAGATTCTGCAATGAAGATATCCTCACAGGCCCTGTGACAGCCTTGTAGAGAAATTGGTGGCAAGGAGAGAGGATGTTTCCAAGCAGTTGAGCACGAAGGTGCTACAGAAAACGATAAAGTGGTGACAGAACTGAGAGGAGGTTGTTTCCTGCTGACAGGAATCAGGGGGTGAGTAACAGCTCAGGAGGCCGGCCTCTGGGCATGTCTCCTGCATTTGTGCATGGGCTTTAGCCTTGGTCAGGGAGGACAGCATGCAGCTCAGGGGTGGCCAGGGAAGGAGGGAGGGAGAGAGAGAGGAGACCTCAACTGAGGGGAGATTTGGCAGCCTTTAGGGCAGAGAAAATGCAGATGGCTTGAGATGTTTGGAGAAAGAGAGAGACTTTAACAAGGGATTCAGCAGACATCTCTCCACCTGACTTTCACATAAGCCTTTAATCTTCCACAACAATCCCCATGTGGTAAAGCACATGTTTTTCCATTTGACTGAGGCTAGGCTCAGATGATTTAAATGATTTGCCCAGGCTGTCTGGCCAGTGAGCGGCGGGGCTGGGGTTTGAACCTGCATCTCCTGATGCAAAGCGTTGCTTCTGCTTTAGGGGTAAATGAGACAAAGATTGTCCATCCTGCATCACGAAAACTTAGTAGAGGGGATCTTAAAGAACATCTTGTTTTAAAGAGGAAGTTGATGTAAAATAAAACAAAACTGCCTTCAATTCCTTTGGGAACAGACCGTGGACATAGGGATGCCCACTGCTAGAGAGGAGGGCTGGGGTTGACCTCAGCACACTGTTCCTGCTATTGTTATGGGTGAAAAGGTAACAGAGAAAGATGATCTCGGTCCTTTGTCTCACAGGAAAGAATTGTCTCACGTGGAAGAGCCATCAGAAGTGTGGGGTGGGCAACTTGTTTCTACAGTAACCTGGGGGCTCAGAAGAGTGGAATCACCACTCCCTTGCTATTCTCATGATAGGATTGGAAGCTCCCAAGGAGTGGGCAGACACCTTGGTTTTTGGTAAAGGCAGCTTTTGGGGGAAAACGTGCAGCAGGATTTAGCACCTTGATCCTGCTGAAGGTAACTTGTGAGGGAAGCAAGCATTGTGCACCCTCTTAGAGGGACTCTGCTTTCCCCATTTTCCATAGGGACCAACGTGCTTGTTAACCCATCTGACTCCGCACTGTCATCTGTGTGAGAATCTGGTGCTTCTGTGCCATCGCTCCAGGTCGTTTCCTTGGCAAAGCACTCATCACTTAGACTGCACTGTGAGTCACATGCAAATGCCACCCCAACTCCCCAGTGCCCCAAGAGCATGTAGGATGCTGTTCAGAACAAACAGTTGTTGGAAGTATAGATGAAAACGTGTGCGGTCTGGGTGATCATCCAGCTCCTTCGTTACCCAGTGGAATAACATTGAATAAACCAGAATCCCATCCAAAACGTGACATAAAACATCGTCTTACTATACTCACAGTTCCAGGAATCAGAAATGCAACCAGAACACAGCTGCGAAAGGGTTGAAGGCTGGACTCATCTGGAACTTCTTCACTCACGTGTCAGGTAGCTGGGCTGGGATGACTTCAGCCGGGGCTCAGCGGGGACTGTTGACCAGAGTTCATTTATGTGGCTTCTCCGAGTGGCTTGAGCTTCCATACAACATGATGAGGAACGAGGAATTCCCTGAGGACCTGGAGAACCACTCGGAGGAAGGGACTCCTGCAGAGCCCCGGATCCCTGCATTGGAGGCTGATGAGTCCAGATTACAAACCAAAGCCCGCCTCATACACCAGTACTTCCATTAGGTCAGGGCTACGGGCTGAACTGTGTCCCCCCAAAACTCACATGTTGAAGTCCTAAGTCTCAATATACAACTGCATTTGGAGATGGGGCCTTTATAAAGATGATCACATCCAAATAATGCCACTGGGTTGGGTCCTCACGCAATCTGTGTTCTTATCAGAAGAGATCAGAACACAGATGACCCAGAGAGATGACCATGTAAGGACACAGGGAGAAGACGCCATCCCCAAGCCCAGGAAAGAGGCATCAGTGGAGACCAGCCCTGCTCACCTTCCAGATTGCTGAGAAAGTCCACGGTTGATGTTTATGTCACCCAGTCTGTGGTGTTTAGTCATGGCAGGCCTAGCAGACTGGCAGCGGGGAGCCCACTCATCACACAGGCACAATCCCAGCTACTGCCAGGGTGAAGGGTGCAGCACCTGCCATTCTGGCTGAATGACATCCCCGTGCCTCTGGCTTTCCAGGGTTGTGTGGCTGTTTACTTTCTAGCAATTAACCACCCATTTTCTGTCTAATAGTTCATGTTCCACTCACCTCTGGGGCTTAGGATCCTTGGAGAGAAATTTAGGGTTTTTCTACTTTTTCTCTTCTGTGTCATATTCAGTTAGGAAGTGATGCTGACAGCTGATCCATGCCATTGGTTTTGGAAATTTCTGATTGAAGTAGGATGGCAGGACCACATCGGGACTGTGGGGTGGGATTTGTAGATCGATCGATCGATCGATCTATCTACACATACTTATGTATACATATGTATACATATGTACTTTTCATATGAATGAAAAGTCTCAAGAAAGTACACTTCAAATTATATTTCAGTGGTAAGAGTATATCCTTAAAATAACTGAAAAATAACTGAAAATGTGAAAGTTCTGAGTATAGGAACAGTTGTCTCTGAGTGGCAATAATGGGAAAATACTAGAAGCAAGCTAAATATGTAAGATTAGGAATGATTACGCTTCACAGTTTATGTGTATCACGGAATGCTACACTATCATTAAATTTGTGTTTTTAAAGGATTCTTAGTTGCATGGGAAAATGGACAAGAGAGTGTTAAAGTAGGGGAACGTGTTTATGCCCCTTTCTCTTACAAAACATGGAGTATGTGGGCATACATTGGAAGGAGGGATGGGTCAAAGGAGAGATGAAAACAATTATGTGTCTCTCAAGACTCTTTTTTAAGGAGCAAAGAAATAAAAAGTGACTAAAAGGAAACACTTCCTAATATTAATGGTAGTTTTTTCTTTAAAATTTTTCTGCACTTCTAAGAATTCAAAGATGAATGCATTTCACATTATCAAAAATAAAAAGTAAACTATAAAAAGTAACATCTTAACGTGTGGGTGGAACTAGCAGTTGTCTTCCCCCAGGTGTGGGTGCCACACCTTGCCCGTCTCCTGCTGAGTGACATTTGGGATTTTCAGGAATGCCGGCCTCTCCCTAGCCTTCCTTCCCTTTCTCTTTCTTCTACTACTTCTCCTCCAAGATGACATTGCAGCTGAGGCAGCCCCTGGCCCAGCTGGCTTTGTATGCTGCTGACAGTGGCACCAAAGAACATTTGGTGGGAGAAGGCATCACAAACTTTAGGAGCTATTAGGGGCTTCCAGAACCTTCTAGTTCAACATAGCTGTTGATCCCGCTGTCAGCTAGAAAAGTAAGGCACGGACAGCACAACACATGCCAGTTTTGCCGTAATAAGCCATTATGGGTCTTTCAACCATGAAGTTGTCTGATTCATTTCTGAAGCAATTTGTATTTTCAGGCCTGTGCCATTTCCATAAATCTGCCCACTGCATGAAGCACAGGATGGGGGGATAGGGTTTAGCAGCAGCACATGTGAGCAGAGCCTGCGGGCGGCTCCCTGGCTGCCTGTGAGCTCTGTGGGGTTAGCAATGGGTGATGGAGAGCCCTGGCTAATATCAGGCAATGCTGTGTGCAGACGTGGGCTTTGCTGGCCAGTGCTGGGCAGGTGTTCAGTTGCTGGAGCAATGTGTTCCGTTTGTTATGAAGCAGCTGAAGAGGCATTGACCACAAGCTCAAGCAAGTCTCAAGTGGAATGGATGACAGAACAAAGGGTATGGTGACTGAAACAGGGAAGACCGGAAGTCACTCTGGGGGCCTTTGTAAAATACCCGGCTGTGTGGCTGTTACCAGGCTTCACTGCAGCACCACACCAGGGCCCTATCCAGCAGCCATTTGCAATTCAGTGTCAGGGAGAACTTTCTAGCAATTGAAGGATTCTCTGATAAGCAGCTCTGAAAGGCAGTGAAACTGGTGCCATGGCTTAGGCCGGTGCCGAGGCTCAATAGGCTAATCCTCCACCTGTGGTGCCGGCACACCGGGTTCTAGTCCCGGTTGGGGCACCGGATTATGTCCCGGTTGCTGCTCTTCCAGTCCAGCTCTCTGCTGTGGCCAGGGAGGGCAGTGGAGGATGGCCCAAGTGCTTGGGCCCTACACCCACATGGGAGACCAGGAGAAGCACCTGGCTCCTGGCTTCGGATCAAGCACAGCATGCTGGCCACAGCGGCCATTGCAGGGTGAACCAACAGAAGGAAGACCTTTCTATCTGTTTCTCTTTCTCTCACTGTCCACTCTGCCTGTCAAAAAAAAAAAAAGGCAGTGCGTTCCCTAGCAGGGGGCAAACAGAGACCAAACATCCAGTTCTCAGGACTGTGGTGGAGGGGAGAAAGCAGAGGGCTGGAGGCAGAAGACTGAACTCAGCACATTAGGATCCCTCTTTTCTGTTCTGTCTAGCTCTGAGATTTTTTAATTTTACTTATCAGTACTGTGTCTTATCCATGAAAAAGACTTGTACACAAATGTCCACAGTAGTTTTATTCATAATAGACCCAAACTTGAAACAACTGAATAGTAGATAATAATAGATAAATGAATAAACAAATTGTACCATGGTCCAAAAATGAGGTATAATACAGTAATGAAATAGATGTAGCTACTGATATGTACAGCACCAGGAATGAAGCTCAAAAACCAAACAACAAAAAAGCCAGATATGAAAATTGGGTACCAGTGCTGGAGGAGCAAGTTAATCCGTAGTGATGAAAAGCAGACCACTGCGTAGCAGCTGTTGGCCTGTGGTTGGGATGCCTGAATCCCAGGTTGGAGTGACTGCTGGATTCTGGGCTCTAACTCCTGACTCCAGCTTGCTACTAATGGAGACTTTGGCAGCAGTGGTGGCTCAAGTAATTGGGCTCCTGCCTCTCCCTTGAGAGGCCTGGATTGCACTCCCAGTTCCTGGCTTTGGCTTGGCCCAGTCTGTCCATGTGGGCACTTCAACAGTGAAAAACAGATAGGAACTCTCTCTATATTTATCTATTGTCTGTGTGTGTGTGTGCATCTGTGTGTGTGTATGTGTGCTTCACAAAAAAAAAATTCGTTTAAATGCAAGTCAGTGGCTCCTCAAGGAATTGGGTCAGAGTGATTAACTTTAGAGGGGCATGAAGGAACTTTCATGGGTTGATGGACATGGTCTACATCTTAATAACGATGTTGGCTACACGGATGTATACATTTGTCAAGGCTCATGGAACTGTACTCTCCACAGGTGTATTTAACAGTATGCAAATCTTACCCAACCAGCTGATTTTTAAGAATATCATGCTTCATACTCAGAAAGATTCAAGGAGGCTTCCATTCACTTGAAAGGACTTTTTAAACACCATTGGCACCTTCGTCTTTCCAGTGTTCTGATTCGGTGAGCCAGGTCCTGTTCACCTCTCCACTTTCAAGGATTTCCATGTGCTCCTTTGCCTGTTTCACTGGTCCTCATTCCAGACTGAGGAGCCCAGCTTTCTGGCCATGGTGCCTCCCTCCCCTGGCTGACTTGGCATCTTTCCATCTCCCTGTGTCTGTCTTGAAACACACAGACTTGATCCAATCATGCATCCCATTAATCGTGAGTGCCCGCATGAAAGACACCTCTTGCAATATTAAAGCATTCCACAGAGATCTGAGCAGGGAGCTCAGGGCAGTGAGGGGTGAGTGTGGTTGGGGAAGATAGAGAAGAAGGGGTGCTGGGGGCTCACAAGGTGGTGGGGAAGACACAATTGAAAGCCCAAAGTTGTGAAGTGGGATGGGGGAAGTTAAGAGGCACCCTCAGGACAGGAGATAGGGAGAGAATGGCAGCCATTTCCCAACTTCAAAAAGCAGTGGGAAAATGCACTCCATCCCTTAATGACCAATGCCCATTTCCGGAAGGGTCCGGCATCCACTGTTAACCTGGCTGAGGTGGTCCAGTGGGAGTGCCCGTGCCTCTTCTGACCTTCCCTTGGGTCATGCTGACGTCTCCAGCCCATTTTTCCTTGTATGTATGTATGTCCAGAGTTTCCCCAGTGAAGCTCGTTGGCTGCTTCCCCACCACATGCTCAGCCCTGATGACCTGCACCATCTGTCTCCACTGCACTGGCGTCCCACCAGCCAGGAAGGTGCAAGGTCACGTGTTCAGTTGCAGACTCTGCTGGA